TTTATATGTCAGACCGATAGGAGAGACGTTCCAAATATGAGACTCAACACAAACAAACCCCTGGGTATTTGGTTGATGGTAACTCCATCTGGCGTATCCTCGCCCTTTGCAAGTTCGTACACGCTCAACTTCAACGGCCCGCCACAAACTTGAGACGAATTGCCTTCACATGAGTTCTCGCATTCTCCGTCGTTGAGTCTGACTGAAAGGCTCGACAGATACAGCGCACACCAGCATTCCCTATCGGTGAAATCCATTAGACAGTTTTTAGAGATCAGGACGCTCAAAACATACCTTGACCATTCGAGTCCAGCGTACTGATACTGCGTACCATTCGAGGCACAGAACTCGAGACAAATGGGCACTGTCATCTTGCCTGCCATTACAAGGTGGGAGCCGCCGATCAGAGCCCGCTCCTGTGCCGAATCCTGTATCTGCATGGTTTCATTGTAGCAGCCATGGTATTTGTACCGTCCAGACTCTCTATATATGCCCGGTACTGTTCCATTAGACGCAGGCATTTCTTGTGACTTGCAGAATGTGACCGTCGTCAGAAGCATCGCAGCTGTTCTGGAGGCATTGACCATATCTGACAATCAAGTTGTGCTTCATGGATCTCGGGTCCCGGTTGAGCTAAGACGCCAACGGAAGGAAAGCGACAGGGCAAAACACACTTTAAATTATACAGGAAGAAACCAAAGTCACTTCGTTCAAAAACCATTTTCTGTTTATGAGGAACGGTGGGAGAGCTTTTCCATGGTAATGCAACCACTGGAATGCACAGAGACATTGATGGATTCCCCAATCCTGCCATTAGCATGGCTTTACCCGGAGAGTACCGGAGATTCGATCTATTCAAGTCTCTTAAAGTATGGCTAGTCAAGCAATCTCAGTGACCATCCGCTCATACCATGGTTGCGTTCAGAGATGATGACAGGACCTTGCATAGCTATGAGAAAAGTAGCTCAATCTATGATTGCCAAGGCCATGTTGCGAGACTCTTTCGGTTACGGAGCCAAATAATATATGTAGCACCCAACACTGCCTAGTTCTTGGGGCTACAGTGACCTTGATTAAGGCACAGGTGATGGGCGACCTCAAAATTGTTCCTTGGGTTAGCTCCGCCAGCAAAGAAGCCACTCTGAGAGTGAAAGTACGAAACTTTAAAATAAAATATTGACTGTATCATTTTCTAGCTTCAAGTTGCCTACTTTTTCCAGCATAAAAGCTAACTTGCTGATACTGGTGTCTCTTTGTTGTCGGGGCACCCTCTTTCATGCAGAATAAAATATGTGCTTCGAATATTGAATTTAAATGGATAAGCTATGCGAATGTTAAGGAACAGTCTGATCATAAAACTATTCAGCTTGACAGGAAGTCTATATATCGAATATGATAACAATATATGTTAGGCCTCGTTTTGCCTACCTTACTTATCAACAGCATCGATTTATCGGGGCTTTATGGGGGAATCTTTAGGCAGCCTCTAGATTCCTTTGAATTATTAATGTTACACTGTTTGATCTACATAGAGAGCATCACCAGAAGTATTAACAAATGCACAAAATACCTCTATACTATATCGGAGGTTTCATCAGAATGCGGGGAAAGCATAATTGAATCTGGGGTAGTTTTCGTTCATCGGAATCGGTATGTGGAGGAAATGCCGAACCGAAAGCCTGGGCCTCATTTATACCTTCAAGCTTCTGCAGATCATCTCGGTGCATCTTCTGCCGACAGTGATTTCCAAATGGCATAGCCATTGCTTCCATACAATACAAAAGGAGACGGTGAGCCTGGGCATCTTGGGAGGGGGAGAAATGACGAACCAGCCATTTGTACTTCACCATCATGCTTGCTTTCAAGTCTATCCTCGTAATTCTCTTACAGATTTCTTCTGCCTCGTTAGGCACATCAAGATCAACGTCGAAACCATGTCGAAACGTGACTCCGTCATTCTGGCCAGATGGAATTGCTGTAGATACAAGTTACAAAGCCAAGACGTCCAAGCTCAGCAGTTTCACCCTCAACTCAAAATCCCGCGTTGCCACAGTTGATTACGGGACTGAGCGTGCTGGGCTACCCTTCTTTGAAGTCCTCGAACTGGAGAAGCCGGTCCAAATTGAGCTGAGGTTCAGTGAGGCTTTTGTTTACCTCAAAGAGCCGTGGTCAGATGGTCCCTATCTTTTTAATACGGGTCAGGCAAACAGCTTTCGAGTCGAAACACTCAATATCACACAACCAGGTTGTTACAAATCAAGATTCGTTCAAGGGGGGCAACGATGGCAAGCCCTTCGGCTTCTGACTGACAGTTTTGTGACTATCAGAAACGTGGGGCTTGAGTCGACCATCAACACAGTGGAAGTTCGAGACCTTCCCGGTGCCTTCTCCTGCAGTGACAACATTTTGAACGACATCTGGAAGCTTGGTGCTCAGGCAACGATTGATTCGTGCTTGGGAAAGTCTACACAGCCAGCAGTATGGCAAATTGATCCCAACAACGGTGCATATGTCGCCAACCAACGCCCAGCAATGACCATTGAAGGCCATTCTTTCGCCAACTATACACTGGAGTTTGATGCTTTCATCGACAGAGGTGGACTCTGGTGGGCAATGGTATAACACACAACTCTTGTCTCAATGCGATATTCCTAACTAATAAATCCCCAGGCGCAACCATTAGCATTAGATGGCCTCCACATTCAGTTAACCGGAGAAATGCCTTCCAGGTCGTCCTTCGCCAACACTAACAAAACTGTGACGCCCCCAAACACTCTTCTTCTAGCAAGTGGGTTTGGATTTGTCAACCAGACCACGTTGCCATCTTATATCTTGGCTTCGACCAAGATTCCATTCTCAGTGAAGGAAAAGACCTGGTACCGCATCAAGTCAGTGTTTGGCGAAAATGGGAAGCTGGAGATTTCAGTTGATGGACGAGAAGTTCTAAAAGTCGACTTGACAAATTACGCCCCTGGAGGAAAACCTGTATCTACAACTGGTCCTTTCGGGTTTGGTGCTTGGCAAGACCAAGCAGCATATTTCCGGAATGTCATTGCCTATGACACGGCGAACAAATCGGTAATATACAGGAACCCTTTGACCAGCCCAGAAACGCTAGTTGAGTACGGGACGCAGGAAAACCTGGGTACTGTTTGTCTTGATGGCCCGAAAAGAGATCGCCTTGTTTGGTTGGGCGATTTCTACCATACATCTCGCATCATCGGGGCCAGTACGGGTGGATTCAACTATACCAGAGGTACTTTCGACTTCTTGCTGCAGACTCAAATCCGCAGTGGGCAAATAGCCATAGCCCCCTATCTTGGTTATGACCCTACCAAAACTGTGACCCTTTCGCTAGAAAGAGTCTACGGTCTGGACGATTATCAGCTTTTGGGCTTCCTTGCATTCGCCCACTACATCCGGCAGACAAACGACCTCCAATACGCGAGGAAGACTTGGGCCCAGTGGGAAAAGCAGCTTTCGTGGCTCGCCAGCAACATCAATTCTACAAGCGGCCTTGCTGACTTTGGCTTTGCCTTCCTCGGTGCTGCCCAGGGAGGGTCCTTGGGCTCTTGTGCCACAGTCGAGACCCTCAATGCTGCTGCAGACATCGCCGAAGCAATTGGCAAGAAAACGTCTTCGGAGTATCGTAACTTGGCGACTGACTTGGCACGATCGATTAACCAGAAACTATGGAACAAAGTCCTGGGAACCTATGGCTATGCTCTGGGAGAACTAAATACGTCCTCAGTAGCTGGTACTGCTTTCTGCCTTTCATCTCATGTGGCGTCAAAGGAACGAGCAGTGTCTGCTGTTGCAGCCCTTGGCGAGTTAGAACTTGGCCTGGGATACAAAGATCGCTCGAACCTCAATGATCACGATATCGAGACCAAGATCTCTCCTAACACTAACGGACTTCTCCTCCAGGCCATTCTTGCCGCCGAGGACTGGGGCAGGGCCTCCAAGCTGATATACAACGTCTGGGGGGCAATGCTGAAAGACCCCGAGACAAGGAGCGGCGCAAGTTGGGAGTATCTCACGGCTATCGGTCAGCCAGGCCTGGGTGCTTTCACAAGCCTGGGTCACCCGTGGGGAGGCGCCGCAACCTACATCCTCACTGAATGGGTCGCTGGTTTACGAAGTGCCAATGGCGTTCAGGGCTTCGGTTACAAGAACTGGGTGGTGAACCCTGAGCTTGGAGTTCACATGGGTCTTTCTCATGCGAGAGCAAAGGTTCCTCTATATCCATCAGGAGAAATCGAAGTTAAGTGGTCCATCAAGTCAAAGAAAATGACCGTTCAGATCAAGGCACCCCCTGGAACAAAGGGTGTCTTCTGGATTGGCAAGACGAAGAAAACGTTGGGAAACGATTCAAGCTATCAATTCACAATTCAATTGTAGGCATTTGATTGTGGCATTGATAGGGATATTAGCCTCCAAAGATCTTGAGTCTCCTGTTATAACATCTATCTATTCTGGGAATTCGCCGGTATATTAATAAGACGGCTCTCTCTCTCTCGTGAGTCTCGAGATTCCAGTGGCAAAGAGGCAGGTCAGGACCTTGATATTATGGAAGTCAGAACGAGAACAATTATCCAAACTACAAGTTCCCTGAATATGTAAAATAACTAGACAATGTTTGCGGATTTTGTTATCAAACCTCAGTTGTGGCTCCGCACACTGCCTATAGGTACTCCGCAAATCTCCAGTCTACCACCGATTTGGAAGGTACCTAAGGTAGGTTGCCCGCTAGCCTAGCCGGGTGGTACCCTTACTTTCGTCCCACCACCTCTCTTCAGTTCTCTCCTCTCCTCCTCCACATCTATCCTACACGTCCATCGTCACTATCACCGAGTTTGATCTCGAGCGCGTTACGATATTCCTTATCTGCCTCAATTCTCGCGCATTGTCGTCGTCCAGCTGTCACGGGACGCCTCCTACGCAACTCCGCATTTTGCGACAAACCTTTTGCCTCACAAAGCCCCTCCAACTCAATCATCATGACCTCCTTCATCGACTATTCAAAGAACACCAGGTCGAAGAATTACCATGGATCCGGTTCATTTGCCACCTTTATGATCATCGCTCGTAAGTTTCCCGTATTGTGATCAATTGATCACACTCGTACTGATCCATATCTCCAGCTGTGTGCTTCTTCCTGGGCATCCTTTTTGCCTCATTCCCTTACGACTTCCCTCTTCTATGGACCAAGGCTCCTGTGCCCGATAACTTCTTTGATCACCTCGAAACACATCTGAAGTTTGTACACCAATCTCCGGCGCTCATTAGCCGTATCCTCCACATTGTCATCTCTATCGGCTTCATCGGTTTCTTCATCAAGCTCTTCCGTCCCAGCGAGGCCAACTTCCTGTTTGACGGCGCGTCCCTCATTCTCTACCTGATTGGTTTCGGTGTCTACGTCGCCAACATTGTCAAGGCTCTCCGAAGTGTTAGTGCCGAGATCTGGACCAACGACGGCTTCGATGGCAAGACTCATGAGGGTGAGAGCGGCGAGCTTGTTCTGGGTCGCGAGGACAGTTTGAAGGTTCTTTCGGCCAGCAATACCATTCTTGCCCTTGTTCTTGTTGGAATTCTCGTTCTGCAAGTCGGCGAGTGGTATGCTGAGAAGAAGGAAGCTGATGACGCCGCCGCTGTCGATGCTAAGGAGGCGTCGGAAAAGAAGGAGGGTTCCCCTAGCAAAGCCTCCACTAAGAAGAAGCAGTAAAATGCCTTTTCAGTGTAGCATCGCAATGTCAGGGTTCACGACTCCTGGGTTCGGATGGTTATCTGGATAAGTGTGTTGACTGCACACAAATGCACCAGCCATTGTATAACTTGTAAATTATTAATCAACATCCCGCGTGCTCCCGAGTCGTCACTTTTGTTCTTCATTCCGATTTAAACATCACCATCTGACTCTAGCATTATGAGCTGTCGTACCAATCATTTCAGGAAGCATATACGAATAAACAGATCCAGGAACTAGTGTGCATGACAATCGGGTTTCGGTATGAAGCAGTATTCAATCTCAATAAGCATAAAAGCGCACGCGGGAGTCAACACGACTCGTTGTTTAACTCTGACAACGCCGCCTATTTTAAGCTTTCGATAGATTATAGCACACCACACTATTACACGAATCATACAGACATTTTCATCGCAATCGTCTTGTGAGGGTCGTAGCCCTTGATGGTGAAATCCTCCGCTTTCCATCCGTCGATACTTCCACCCTTTTCTCGAGAAATTTCCAACTCGGGGAAGTTTCGTGGCTCACGCTCTAATTGTGTGTTGAGGGCGTCAACGTGGTCCAGGTACACATGAGCGTCACCCATGACATGAGTGAGGCTTCCGGGAACTAGTTCACAAACATGGGCAAGCATGTGAGTTAACAGCGCGTAGCTGGCAATGTTGAAGGGAACTCCCAAACCCATATCACAAGACCTTTGATATAGCTGACAATGAAGCTGGCCTTGAGGCTTGGCTCCCGAGTCGTCATCCTTGCTCCGAGGATAGGAGACGTAGAACTGCGCGAACATGTGGCAAGGTGGCAGAACCATCTTCTTCATATCGGCAGGGTTCCAAGCAGAAAGAACCAGGCGGCGGTCATAAGGGTTGGTTCGTAATTTATGAATGATCTCGGCAAGCTGGTCTACACCCTGACCTGTGTAATCCGTCTTAGCATCAATATATTCGGCACCAAAGTGTCGCCATTGAAAGCCATACACGGGACCGAGATCGCCGACCTCACGATGATTGAGGCCAAGGTTGTCAAGAAACTCGCGAGATCCATTGCCATCCCATATTTTGATGCCAGCTTCACTGAGGCTGTTAGAAGAAGTGTTGCCTTCGATGAACCACAGGAGCTCGGCAATGACTGCTCGGGTGAAGACACGCTTTGTAGTAAGGAGGGGAAGAATGGGGATTCCATTCTTATTCAGTGAGAATTTTAGGGGCCGAGGAGCGAAAATGGAGTATGTGCCAGTACCTGTGCTATTAGATAATTAGATTGTTGCCTGGTAATAGTTGTTACGTTCTCTTACCGGTCCGGTCGAGGCTCGCCGCTTTCAAGGATTTCTCGGACAAGATCAAGATATTGATTCTCTTCGTGGTTGATCGACTGTGAGCCGTTCGAAGGCTTGGAATCCGCGGCATTCTGTGTCATGGTCATACTGAGAGTGAGTATTGTGCCAGCTCCTTGGGAACGATTGTGTCCAGGTGTATCGAAATCCTAGGTAAACAGATTCCCCAGACCAAATGAAATCAATTAAACTTGCAGTCGCGTCGTGTCGCGTAAACGCGACCACCCCGCTGCCCCACCATCATTCTGGAGGTGGTGGAGAATATTTAAACCGAACCGAATATCAGATGCGAAGGTGAGAGATGCTTTCACAGGTGCAGGGTCATATGTGGCAAACCACTGTACTAGAGTATTTACGGAGCACATTAAATTGGCTTTAGATCGGTCTAGATTTCCGATGCAATGGTTGGCAGCGAGAAACGGCCCAAATTGTAGTAGGGAAGTCGGAGAAAACTGGTCGTTTCTTGACCGAACGGATTGGTGTTTTCGCCACGGGGTTGATGTGGAAATAGCGCCTGAGATGGTTGCTTGGCAGACTTCAAAGGTTCTTGTCAAGGAAGTTTTCCACCTATGTAGAATCTTATCCTTGACCACTAGACTACCTTAGTACCTAAGGTGCAACTAGGGTTTGGTTGGCTTATACGTCTCGTGGTCTTCGGTTGATGCGCCGGTGTCGGAGTGGATAATCTTATCAATCAGCGATCAACATGCAGGATGCTAGTCAAGAAACTTCCCTGGGGGGTCAAGGTTCAATAGATTACCATATTACAGAGTGATTCCAATTGATCATGGATATCAACTTTGCAAAGGGATCCATTTGACCCAGAGCAGTCCCTAATCAGACAGCATTGAGAAAACCCTTTCGCCCCCTGCTGAACCACAATTGTACGAGCTGAACGTAACAGAACCCTTGAAACATCCAGTTCCAAGGTGTGCAGGTTCGATCTGATAAAGAAAGCTATAACATGATTGGCTTGAATTTCGCAAAAGCGGGCGATCTGATGTCACATGCAGAAATGTCAAGAGAATTTTCTTTTTGGGGCCCGATGCCCGAAAACGACCCCAACAGCAAGCATCTCTCTGCATGACGGTTCACCTTGCCAATTCGCAGCACAGGGCGGCGATTATATGTCACAGGCATTGCCCACAAATTTGCGTTGCACCCTGACAGACTAGCTTGCCCTGTAGCTGCGAGGAAATCATATCCTTCTAATCCTCGTTTACCGACTTTCGGCGGTCCTTCCACTGACTGCGACTGCTCTTCAGCAACGCATAGCACAGCTACCTATATCCGATGCATCCCACACCCTGAACATCTCGAATTTGCCTGCTTGTCAACCACTTAGGTAGCTTTTGGCTACTACTCGGCGATACATCGATTTTAAAGACACCAAGTGCCCGAAAAGTGCCTTTACGTACATGCCTTACCTCAACAAAGGTACCTTATTGGACCCATCCTCCGATCGCGTATACAGTATACTATCACTGGAGTCCCCCTCCTTCGAAGCTTTTTGACGGTACCTACTAGGTAGTCACGACACTGCTTTCCAACTCTTCCTGTCAACCCTCAATAGGGGTGCTCAATACTATACGCCGTTCCTCTTCGACCGTAATTCTCCTGTCGAGATCGCGATTAATTAGCGCCACCGCTTCGATGGAGCCTAGTCCTGTAGCTGTGGAGGTTGCTGGCCATGCGCCCAACTTCTCCCTCAAGGAAAAGACGGCGCTTATGGAGGCATTCGAAGATGTACTATGCGGATCGGTATGTGGCTTTATCTGAGCCAGTTCTTCGGATACTGACTTTCATCAGTTTGCTGGCGCTGTGGGCAAATACATCGAGTATCCGTTCGATACGGTCAAAGTGCGGTTACAAAGTCAGCCCGATCATCTCCCCTTGAGATATTCTGGTCCATTGGATTGCTTCCGGCAGTCTATCAAAAGTGATGGAGTTTTAGGGCTGTATCGTGGCATCACAGCTCCTTTAGTGGGTGCTGCAGCAGAAACAAGCAGTCTATTTCTATTTGAGAGTCTTGGCCGTGAATTACTGTTCACGAGTAGCCTAGTCCCCCGAGAACAAGGACTTTCACTGCCGTATCTCTGGCTAACAGGTGCATTTTCTGGAGCTTTCACTTCGTTTGTCCTCACTCCAATTGAGCTTGTCAAGTGTAGGATTCAGGTTCCCATGTCGGCTGATGGAACTACCGGTCCTCCCCTCCGCCCTATACCTGTCATCAAGCAGGTTTTTCGCCATGAAGGCCTTCGAGGCTTTTGGCATGGTCAGCTTGGTACACTGATTCGAGAGGCTGGTGGTGGTTCTGCTTGGTTTGGTGCCAAGGAGACTGTAACAAGCATGTTCTACCAGCTCAAGACGAAGACCGCGAAATCAGCAACAGAAAAGCAGATAATTCTTGATACACCCTTGCCGTTCTGGCAGCAAGCAATTGCTGGCGCATCGGCGGGTGTGTCATACAACTTCCTCTTCTTTCCTGCAGATACTATCAAATCACGCATGCAAACCTCGACTGTCAGTGATCTACGCCAACGACGTACATTCTGGAAAGAAGGAGCGATGCTTTGGAAACAACACGGGATACGAGGCATGTACCGTGGCTGTGGTATTACATGCCTCCGATCTGCACCAAGCTCTGCTTTCATATTCATGGTTTATGATGGGATGAAGCGACACTTTCCTTTTTGATGATCACGGAAAATAAAAGTGGCCGAGATGATGTATATGATAGACCAAATTTCATTATCACTTTGAAAGGTAATTTTATCTACGGATAGCAGCGACTGGTCAAAGCATCTATGCCGTTCAAACTTTGGTTTGACATAATGTCGATTAGTGAATTGGAGCATCAATAGAGGGTGGGTATCTATCTGTTCATCTTGGGGTCGACAGAAGATAAGAAGAACGATACTTTTGATTCCAGGGAATAGAGCCAGTTTGGCTTTTGAAACAACACAAACGCAACAACATACAACAGTCCATGTTTATAGATCAATACCCATGACTTGAGCAGAACTACATTAATCATAAGCTGTGCCTATTCGTCCTTTGCTTCCTTGGCCTTCAGGTCCCAGTTGTTTAAATGACCGATGGTAGTGCATAGATAGGTCGCAAAGCTGAGCCAGGCGAGGTAGGGAACTTGACTCCACGCAGCAACAGAATCAATGGAGCTGTAGAGATAAGTTAGGTAGCCGTTGACGCCGAGCAGCGTCACAATATCAACCGACGCCTCAATAGGTCGATACAGGCCGAAGAAGAGGGGGGTCCAAATAAGGTTGAGGCCGAGTTGAATTGAGTAGAGCGTCATTGCACGTCGAGTGTTCACGATAGTCTCAGGGCCTGAGAAGGGAGAAAGGCCAATGTCAGCAACTCGGTAGGCGGCATAACCCATGAGACTGAGAAGGGTTAGTTATGGACATCAATGACCTGGCCTGGATCCTCACCCGTAGAGGACGGTCCAGACAGGGCCGAACAGCCATGGCGGAGGTTGAACCGAAGGTTTCTTGAGAGCAAGATAGGTCTTCTGGGTCTCTTAAAACCAGATAATGAATCAGTCAATACTGATCGATTGATATGGATAAAAAGGCTAACTCACGAGTGGCACTGAAGCCAACGGCTGTCCCAAGGCCAATGGGCAGCAAGACTGATAGGGCGGGCTTCAGGAAGACCGCGTCGGGCAGTGTGAGCGCGGGAATATATGTAGTCATGATGAGCACTTTACTGTTGATGATCTTGTTCGAAATAGATGATAGATGAGCAGGGACTATTGAATTTAGAGGTATCTCAGTTGCATGATAAAGTCAAACAACGGAAGGGCAATGACGTAATCCATTCTTGGGGGAAAATATCCAATGCCGAGGCCCGGAGTTGTCAGATCATTAATTGGATGTAGAGTGGGCTGATAGATTCGAAACTCAGATGCAGAGCATATAATGGCTCCATAACGATCGAATTAAACGCCATGAATCTACGGAGTACACAGAGTAGAACTGCCCATGCTTCTCGGTCGCGAATTGGCCACTCAAACGAGACAAGGGAAATTTCTTGCGACTGGTCTCTAAGCAACGAATGGTACGTGCGAGGTAGTTATCCGGAGCTCTGTACAGGCCACAAGGGTTCTAAATATTAAACTATATACTTCTCTGACTGGCTAATCCGCTTGGATTAGTAGAATCAGATCTAGTTTTTCCTATCTTATTATCCTCTCTTATTCTTCTAATATCTAATAACAGATCTTAGAACTATTTCCGCCGTAGCAAAGATACCTATTCCAGCGCGGAATTTAACATTTGGAGCCCTTGTGGCCTGTACTCTCTACGGAGTACCTGAGTAGGTGCCTACTATGTTCTTCCGCAGTAACTGATGACATTCGATAGGTCTGTGGAAACAGGCTAGACAGATATAGGCTCTGCAATTGGCCAGAGAAGCAAATAAAGATCTGACATCTTGTTAAATAGCCTCGTTAGTCAAATGAGAGAAATTGGCTCACGCTCGCGTGTATCCACAGACGCTACCGAATTTCATTAGTTACTGCGCAGCTACGGTCTCCGCCGCAAGTCTCTGGAGCCTGGGTCTTGATTTACGCATGAGAGTGGCTGACTTAACCGCGTCTTAGTGCACTGACCACATGCTTAATTGATCGTGGCCCGCAGGTCGCGTTTCTACGCGACTTCAACACGTCTTATGCCATATCGTGGCGCGAAGCGCCCTGAGTACCCAAACGGGGCTCCATTCTTAATGTTCGACGCAGGACAACCTGCAGCTGCTTTCGGCAAGCACCCTTTTTGCAACTTCCAGACCTTCACAACCCTATACCACTGATTATCGGAAAGTGCTTTCTGCTTACAACTCTGCATATCTACACGTTGGAAGGAACCATTCTAGTCATGGCTCGAGCAACACTAGGAAAGAGAGCCCGCGGCATTGATGAAACTGGTGAGTCTCAGCCGGCGGAAGGAACAAGAGCCTTTCTTTACTAAATTATAATTCAAGATATGCCTTGCCCGGTGGCTACTCCTACGAAACGAAGTCGCCGCCTTGCAAAAACTGTTTCATACAACGATGAGAACCAAGATCCTGCATACTCTCCCTTCGACGATGATGAAGAAAACGACATATTGGCTGAGCTCCCTGCTCGGAACCAAAAGTCTCCCTCACAAGCATCCATAAAGCAGAATCCAGTTACACCCTCGACACCCCGACATCGAGATGCACTTTCGGTGCCTCCTACTACGCCTCGGCATGCTGTCATGTCGGCAGGCAAACTCTTCAAGCGACTCACACCACAAACACCACTCTCACCAAGCACCATCCAAACCATTTACCATTCAGCACGACAATTGTTTGCCCGTGGAGCTGAGCCTGGCCAACTTATCGGTCGGGATGCAGAACGAAATCAGTTAATGGAATTCCTCGGACGATGCTCTTCCCCTACCCCCAACGGTTGCCTTTATGTGAGCGGTCCACCAGGCACGGGCAAAAGTGCCATGATTTCCGAGATAAGTCGACAGTTTGCCAACCACAAAGGTGTCATGACTGCATACCTCAACTGCATGAGTGTCAAATCTTCTAAAGATCTCTATACCACACTTCTTGGCGCGCTTGGCCAAGGTTTCGACTCTGCCGAAGCAGATGCGATTTCGAGCTTGCAAGCTATGTTCGTGCCCAAGACACAGTTGACAACCGTCTATCTTGTGACCCTGGATGAGATCGACCATATTTTAACGATGGGCCTAGAAAGCCTGTATCGCGTGTTTGAATGGTCGCTACAAAAGAACTCATGCCTGATTCTTGTCGGTATTGCCAACGCCCTGGACTTGACTGATCGTTTTCTTCCTCGACTCAAGGCCAAGAACCTGAAGCCTGATCTCCTGCCATTCCTGCCCTATACCGCAGCCCAGGTCAAGAACATTATCACCATGAGACTTAGGTCACTGATGCCGGCTGATGGAAAGGAGGGCCACGTGCCATTCATTCACCCTGCTGCTATTGAACTCTGCTCCCGCAAGGTTTCGAGTCAGACAGGGGACCTTCGCAAAGCCTTCGAGATCTGTCGCCGTGCACTTGACTTAATCGAGACCGAAACGCGTCAGAAGTACGAGGAAGAAGCGAGGGAAGAACTTCTACAGATGACCCCTTCGAAACGACCTCTTGGGGAAAACATCAACGGCGCATCCGGTGGCTCGAAGACCATGTTTCAGTTAATGGCGAATTCTTTGAAGGCTCTTACAGCAGAAACTGCGCCCCGAGCATCGATCGGGCATCTGAACAAAATCACAGCAGCAGCTTTCAGCAACGGAACGACCCAACGACTCAAGGCACTTAACCTCCAGCAGAAGGCAGCTCTCTGTTCCTTGATAGCTTATGAGAAACGAACTCGAGCTGCTGCTAAGATGACCAAGAACGGCGCCACACCTTCCAAGAAGAAAGTTTTGGCACCGACTATCAAAACTTTATTCAATGCATACTGTCAGCTCTGTACCCGCGACTCGGTCCTGCACCCTTTATCGAGTTCTGAATTCCGCGAGGTTGCCGGCAGTCTCGAAACATTGGGGTTAGTCAACGCATCCGATGGAAAGAGCGGAAGCCTTGCCGCACCACAAACACCCAGCAAGCGAGGTCGCAAGACTCTTGCTGCAAATGGAGATGAGCGGAGAATCACGAGCTGTGTTGCAGAAAAAGAGATCGAATCTGTCGCCGACGGCGCTGGCGCTGGCGCTGGCATCCTAAGAAGTATTTTGAGTGGAGAAGCATTGGATTAGACTGCCAAAAGCATTCAACGGACAGGTATCATGGCATAGCACTGAATGGCGTTTTGGCTTGAGTTAGCAACGACGGGTTATCATTGTCTTGTATCATACTGGGCCCGGCGGTAACATGGGTCTGGACGGGATTCCAGAACTCTTTGGATGGATAATGATACCAAGTACCTATGTAATTGTAGTTTAAGATTTGTTTGATTCGCAGGATAACGTTAGAGTTGACCGGGGTGGACGAACGGAATAGAAAGTCAACAACGCATGGTAACATAGAAGAAAAGAATATATTGAAAACCACCTCATAGGCTCATTGCAATGATTGAGTGACAAGGCTCCTTGTCGATACCTCGTAGCAGCGTCGATAACAGTCGAGAACCCTGTCTGCCTACCTATCTAGCCAGATGCGATATACCCTTGCAATATTTTGAAGATACCATAAGCACATACGGATATTGCAACCTTGGATTCGTTGGCCTCACTCCACGACAAGGTTCCACTCAGGAACGTGTGTGTCGCGTCATGGCCAGCAATGGCGGCAGCACCAGATCCATAACCGCGCCGCATGTTATGTAGACTAATCCTATGGATGTGGTTGGCAAGGAACACTGGCATTAGAACTGACAAGCGGGAAACAGCTAGATACTCAGAGATAGCAGAGGCACAGGGCAACGGTAGTCCAGCTGTGACTATGGCAGCCTCGACAACAAAATGTACTCAGCTGGCCGTTTCCGCTAGTCGCCAGACCTGTCACTTTTTACCATCCATGACCAAGACATTTGGCAGGATATGTGAGCCAAGCTCGTCGAGATTTTAACCAAGCTTTTTTCTTGGCGGTGCGATGTTCTACAAAGCCTTGGCATCTGGAGGCTGACAATCTGGGTAGGGCAGATTCGAGATGCCGTCCGTACATGACTACTAATATGGTAGATTAAGTCATATGCCCAGTTGACAGAAGTTTCATTTTCGATCGGGGGATGTGCTTTGCATATGAGATTTCATAGCTATGCCCACGTCGTACCTTTTATATTCGCGCTGCTTGAAAATGGTTACAAGTACTCCTCTTGTCCCAAGAAGCTCCAGCCGTTCTCCATCTTGCTCGACACTGTTCGAGGCGCTAGGGACCACTACAGTCTACGGGGACCTCTGCAGCCGCTAGGAAGGTACCTTTCCAATTGGCTCTTCCATCCCCCTCCCGTCCATCCCGCGATTGTAAACCTTCTATCGCAGGTACTAAGGCACTGCTAGTTAGTGCCCCAGTAGGCACTGAGTATCGTCCGTCGCTTCTACTTGCTGTCGCTACCGCCGCCATCCATCTCCGCCTCCACGACCCAATACTCGTCATTCGCTCACTCAGGTCACATTTTCTGCCTCAGCTCATCTATATTGTATAGTATTTGTATTTCTGATTGGGCTTATTGTTATTGATATTCTCGGCCTATTTCTTGGATGTCGATCTCGCACCCTCTTGTACCCCTCCTGCAGGCTTAGAACACGCAGCCGCAACCGCCGCCGACGCGCCCACAGACGGAAACGCCTCTGCTTCAACGTTCGTACCCGCTGCATACATATAATTCAACGGCTTCCCGATAAGACTTAGAAACAATCCAGAGCAAGAAGCTGCGAGCTCTCGCTCTAAGGATTGCGACGTCGGTTTTCTGAGCTCGACGTCGCTCTCGACCTCGGATCCTGGTCCTTCTTATGCCTTTGGCACCACGTCTGGGAATGGGCCGCCGGTCGAGATCTTCTCCCTCGCTCTCCAATCCCACAGGAGCTCCTGTTCCTGCGAACCCTAACGTTCAAAATACGCCTACGGACCTTGAGATATCTTCTCCCGCCGAGTCTGCTGGCTCGGCGACCACTGCCGCCCCGCGGGCTACCTCCCCCACCGCATCTACCACCTCTTCTACGCGCCCAAGATTTCTTTCACGACTGAGCCTCCCTCTCTCACTCCCTTTGCGCAATCGGAATCGCAATATCACCGACTTTCATATTCGTGCTGAGGAACCACACCGTCGTTACAGTGCTGGCGATAATGTCCGTGGTGCTGTCGTCATAGTTGTCGTAAAACCTGTTCGCATTACTCATCTAACCGTTTCGCTACACGGATATGTCCGTGTCCTAAAGGATCCGACCTCGGTCGCAAAAGCGCAAGGAAGTATCGTGCTACCGCAGAATGGGGACTCGGCGCGCCCACGATATCACGGCAATGGCCTCGCAAGCCTTTTCCAAGACGAGCAGGTGTTAAGCGGCGAGGGGAGGCTGGAGCCTGGGAGATACGAGTTTGGTTTTGATCTACTGTTTCCTGACAAAGGGCTTCCAAGCAGTATTGACGTAGGTTTGCTGCTCTCCTCAATTATTCCTTAATCACTAATTTACTATGCAGTTCGAGCGCGGGACCGTTTCATATATGGTAACTGCCACGCTGACACGGCCAACATCGATTGCCCCGACATCATCATGCGAGCGAAAAGTTATGTTAGTAGAGAATGTGGATGTTGGTCTGCTGCCCGTCCCTCGGCCGCGCACCATCTTCTTAGAACCGATATCGAAACGAAATCGTAGGAGAAAGTCCATGGTGATGGACAAATCAGCTGCGGCTCCTTCCGAGATCAACGAACTTAATTCGGAGCAAGATCCTTTGGAAACACCAACGGAAGACCTTCGTGAGCATGTGACGAATCCGAGAAGTCCAATACAAAGCGATATGCGGAGCGAGATCAGCGGCGAAAGTGGCATCAGCAACAGCACAAGCCTGAGTAGGCCGGAAGCCGCATTGTCCCAGGTCGGGACACTCACATCGGCTAAGCAACAAGCAGTTGATAAAAAGACGATTACCGCAACAGTCGAGCTTCTGAAGGGCGGTTGCTTGCCGGGTGATGCTGTCTCCGTGCGGGTCACGGTTCAACATACTAAACGGGTGAAGAGCATGACTGGTGTGATTGTAACACTCCTCAGACAAGGCAAAATCGACAGCAACCCGCCGAGTGCTCTGTTTGACGAGAATTTAAGTCGTGACGATGTAGCTCGCATCGATAAGGAGGATGTGTTTCCGCGATCTCGGACCGGTCTGGGTGGTCTTTCGTTGACGTCTTCGAGTTCTACAAGCATATTCCGTAAGGATCTTGACCAGAACATAGCACCACTAATCATCGACCCCAACACCATGCAAACGTCGGTCACTGTGACCGTCAAGCTACCTGACGACTCGTTTCCGACAATAAAAGGTGTACCTGGAGAGATGATCAGCTTCAAGTATGTGGTTGAGGTAGTTGTTGACCTCGGCGGGAGATTGTCAAATCAAATGCAAACTGGCCCAGCCAGATTTGGACCTTATGGCCATGGAAGTGCAGACAATCATACTTATGGGCCAAGAAGAGGTGCTAATATTGCAGACACTTCTCAGATGCGCCACGAAAAGGGCGTTATCGCGGTGTCGATGGAAACAGTCGTTGGCACAACTGATTCGTCTCGCGGGAAGAAAAAGTCGAGAGCTTCGCCCACTTCGCGAAGCGTACAGATTCTTGAAAGCGATGAAGAAGAGGTCATAGGCCAAGAACCAAATTATGCCGACGATCCTCCCCTTGAGCCATACTCGAACAGCACGCCACTCTCGCCTGGGGGTTATTTTCCATCACAGGCCAATGGGAGCCGACTTCCAGCGATCCCTTCTCATCCCCCACAGCCATATTCACAAGTGGTCCCCGTGCAACACACATCGCTCCGGCCTCGAGGCGTTGCTGGGTCAAATTCTAACGGCCCTGTTCCCTCTCCAGCCGCGCCTTCATACATCCCACCTCCTGAGATACTTAACCAGAACAATCTTTCCGAGAAGGAGAGGATAAGACAAGCAGAAACAAGACTTCTACCAAGTCAACCGCCGGAAGCGGGCCCATCGACAAGTCACGATGACGAAGATATATATGATGCAGAGGATACGCCCCGAGTTCCTGATCTCGGTGGTGGCTTTGTTTCAAATGCTCCCAATGCTCCAAGTGCCCCCGATGCGGGACCATCGGCCCCCTTGGAAGACGATGTTGACTTGCCAACAGTGCTTCTCCCAGCGGCTGTTGAAGACAAACAGGAACTCGAACGTCAACGGCTTCTGAACGAAGCCAGTGCACCGCCAGACGTTCCCGAGGATGTGCAACGACGAGCAGACGAAGGCCTATCGAGGGAGGTGGAAGCTGATGCGGAAGCAAGCGCACCAAGTGCCCCAGTGGTGGATGATTATGAGGATTTTCCAGGTTACGGATCTAGCGCGGGACCTTCTGGGACTCCAAGGCATATAGATGGAGAGCAGCTACCAGCCTACCAAAGATAAGCTAATGTACGTGGAGGCGTGTGTATTGCATAGGCGTATGAGTGTATGGGATATGATGGGTATACTATATAATTTGCCGGCGCATCAGTTGGAACCCTTAGCGTTTGGATATATGATGACAGTCAAATCATGACAAAGTTGTTACTATCTGTACCAACAAATAACAATAATTACTATTGAGGATGAAGAGTAGCTTTGAGCTAAAGTTATTTCTTGTAAGAACTTCCGGACATTGATTTCAGTAGGAAATCGCGATCTACAATCTCACTAAATAAGGTACCTTAGGGGATACTGAAACAATGATATGCAAAGGTCACAAGTACGATGAACTCAATGCCAAGCAACTCACCTCCGAGTTGGTCGGTCATCTCGAGGTTGCAGGATAAGGAAAACGCCTAGATCCCTGTATCACGTTGTTTATCTTCGATCCAAGATTGATGTAAAGCAGTCCACTGCCTCGAATGCAAAAAGCTTGCTTGGTACATAACTCCAAGAGAAAGCTCCAGGTGTGAGTCGAAAAAAAAAAAGATAGAAAAAATATATTAAATATTTAATTAGCTATATTATAAGTAATATATATTATATATAATTTATATTATATTTAGATCCTTTACTTTAAAAGAGTAATAATAATATAAAATATATAGTTTAATAAATCTATTTTTTATAATAAATCGCTCCCATTGAAAGATGCTGTCGTCAAGTGAGACCATGCAAGTGTCTTCAAAGCAGCGCTCATGATACACCGGACAAGTCTGGTCACATATTTATTTTATCATATCAAGAAGCTGAGTGGTACTCAAGCAATACCACCACGACTTTTCGTTTCTGCTACTTAATGCTGTAGCACAACATGACGGCCCCTCTCCCAGTTATCCAAACTTTCCTTGATATTGACCCAATAGCGCAGACGCACAGCCTCATGTTTCGCAGCCTCGATATCATCATGCTGAAACGCGCGCTCGAGCACCTGTTCGCTCTCCGCAATCCGTGCATCGTTCGCGGCACGAGGTTCGTCCAGATCCTCTTCGTGCTCGGCATCCTCAATCTCCTCGCGTGCCTCGAGCACAAGCATTAATAGTTCTGGCTCTTCTACCTTGAGGGTCTCATCGTTGGCGACGTCGACGCCCCGAAGAGAGAGGAGATATTGTGCTCGAAGAAGAGGGTTAGAAAGCGTCTTATAAGCCTCATTTATGCGTGCTGACATGGCTTCGGCACGAGCTTTGTCCTGAGCAGGATGCATGTCCGGATGAGCCCGAGCTTGCAGACGGAGAAACTCACGGCGCAAAGCGCGAGTGTCGATAGGAAAGTGTCCTGCTGGAGGAGGACCATCGGGGAGCGTCTCAGGGAACAAGTCATAGTGTGTCGACGGTGGTGCACTGGACGAGGCCGGTTCTTGCTCGGGCTTCGCGGCACTAGATACACCGCGGGTATGAGCTCTGTTCGCAGCTGGGCCCCGAAACGCCACTACGAGAGCTAAATGATGTCGTGGAGGCGTCGTTGAGACAGCTGGTCGATGCAATGGTACAAGAGTTGAAGCTCGGCGAGCTCGGAGTTGACACCGGACACAAAGCCGAGAAACGTCGCGTACGGCGGGAGAAGAGACGGAGAGTCGCATGCTTTAGGGCATTAAAGGACAAAGGTATGGAGAAAGTAGGTATGCATGAACCTATGCACTGAAATGAATATCAGAGGTGGGAAAGTCTACTATTAAAAATACGGTGGTCGTTCCGGGCAAGTAGAGCTTTAGAGGGCGCTTTCCCGCTGAATGTCGTAATAAATCGTTAGCGCAAAATTGACCTCATCGGTTGTGGCGCATGCGGCTAGATTTGTGGCGTTGGGTTGTCATGATGGCTCCCGTCTCAGTGGAGGGCTCTGTACAACCTTTACCTAGCGGACAGAGTAAAAGTACCTTGGGCTAGTTCAAGAGTGCGCCTATCATAAGTCCCTGTACAGACCCAACTCGCCCTTCCATACTTAGTTTTTCGGCCAAGGTCGCCGGTCATGATCGGGATCCTGTCCGGACCAATGGTGGATAACGTAATTGTACGGATACACAGCCTTATAATGCGCGCCATGATGAGACTGAAGAATGAATATCTCCATGTAGTTAAATTGAATCCTTGTTCATTGAAGTGGCCTAGTGATACGAAGCCGACGCATTTATTTTTCTTGGGCATTTCGTCACATATTATCCGTAGTTCCAGTTACATTGTCATAACATCCAATCCTCACACAAACCACCCCCAAGGACACCCCCAATTCTGAGAACCCAATTGGAGGTGGGACAGGTATATGCCGAGTCTGTAGATCAGTCAAACCGGCCTCGACGTTTTAATAGACCGTTTCGCGCCACATTTTTCCGCCTGCAACTCAATTGACTCAACTCTGCACATATACAGCATGGCCAAGATTTTCGACGCGGCTGAAGGTATGAACAGCGCCGATTGGAGCTGAACAATGTTTACAGAAGGCGCAATAACTGACGTGCTCGCGATAGTGGCCAAACACAACACCCCGGAGAGTTGCTGGGTCATTCTCTATGGCAAAGTCTACGATGTGACTGAGTTTCTTCCAACGCACCCCGGCGGTAAGAAGATCATCCTGAAGCTTGCAGGAAAGGATGCCACCGATGAATATGATCCCGTTCACCCACCGGGAACCCTCGAGGAGAACCTCAGGCCTGAGAATATCCTCGGTGAAGTGAATCCCGAAACACTCACTGACTCCCAATCGACCGGCGAAAACACTACCACACAGTCCCGAGATAACCATCCGCCACCAATGGCATCACTCATGAATCTTGATGAGATCGAGGAGGAGGCTACCAAGCGCATTTCGAAAAAGGCTTGGGCATACTACTTCTCAGCCGCCGACGATCTATTTTCAAAAACATACAACAATTATGTGTATAAAAACATACTTCTTAGGCCACGCGTATTTGTTGATTGTACAGCTTGCGACCTTTCAACCACATTGATTGGCAACAGAGTCGGGCTACCAATATTTGTCGCCCCTGCTGCTATGGCCCGCTTAGCTCATCCCGATGGAGAACAAGGCATCGCCAAGGCATGCTCTCGATTCGGGGCCATGCAGATTGTGTCGAACAACGCGTCGATGACACCTGAGCAAATCATCGAGGGCGCAAAGCCAGGCCAGACCTTTGGTTGGCAACTCTACGTCCAGAACCAGCGAGAGAAAAGCGAGGCGATGCTCAAGCGCATCAACGCTATGCGGGAGTACTACAAATTTATCTGCCTGACCCTTGATGCGCCTGTTCCTGGTAAACGCGAACTGGACGAGAAGCAAAACTTTGATTACTCTGAACCCAGCCCTGCCAGTGGTGAGAGCAAGCCCGGTGCTGGAGGTGTTGGTCAACAGCTGTTCTTTGGCACAGCGGCCGACTTGACTTGGAAGACAACTCTTCCCTGGCTAGCTGCTCACACAGATCTACCCATCGTCCTTAAGGGTCTACAGACTCACGAGGATGCTTATCTCGCAGCAAAGTATGCTCCTCAAGTAAAGGCCATCATCTTATCAAACCATGGCGGTCGTGCTCTTGACACAGCCCCTCCAGCTATACACACGCTTCTCGAGGTCCGCAAATACTGCCCTGAGGTTCTGAGCAAGGTCCAAATATGGGTTGATGGAGGCATCAAGCGAGGAACAGATGTTGTAAAAGCATTGTGTCTGGGAGCCAGCGGAGTCGGTATTGGACGAGGTGCTCTTTTTGGACTTGGCGCTGGTGGCCAAGCCGGCGTCGAGAGAACACTCGAAAGTAAGCTGAGCCTGTGATCTTGAGAATGCCCGAACCCCGTCTAACACATGCAAAACAGTCCTCGAGGCAGAGACAGCAACATGTATGAGATTAATCGGAGCCAAGAATATCTCGGAGCTTGGACCTAAATTCGTAAGATTTCCCCATCTTTTCCCCAGACTCCGTTCCCCATGGTTGGCGATCTCGACTAACTCGCTTGGCAGGTCAATGCTCGACAGGTGGAACGAGATATCTACGATGGAGATTCAGGGCTGGACCGTCAGGGCTTGTGGACAAAGTCTAAGCTGTAAAGTATGAAGCGGCAGCAGGCGATATCTTCATATGCCAGATGCAGCCTCGGCTTGGATACTAGATCTTCTTCAGTCTCCACTCCAATTACCAGGTAACCCTGTTTCTCTAATCGAAGCGGCAACAGCGGGAGCTCTCGGGGAAGACGGCTCTGGTAATATGGTGGGCTGGCCAACACCGTTGCCTCTGGGTGACATCGCGGAATATGGAAAAGTGAGGCATCAGAATCTCTCTAATGAAATCCTTCAAACCTTTTTCCAGTACTAATATATTTTGAAAGCATCATTCCAAATAAAGGGTTTCAGTGAGAAATTGGACAATTCACTGCAAGTAGATGCAAGTAGATATTTTACAATGGTGGTTCAAGATAAAAATGGTCATGTTTTGATTTCACTATCTATACTACTCCGTGCCGTATCTAGCATTGCCAGGGGGGGAGGTCGTGGTCACTTCGGAGGTAGAAGCAATGATCTGAAAGCTAAAATTGAGGAACGGAAATGAGGAGAATGATACGATACTGTCCAAATGGCTGGCCATGTTTGTTGGTTGTGCCGAGGAGGCTTCATGCGGCGCAGTTGGAATTGGTTTCAAGGGTTGCCTGACGATGCATGAACGCATGAGTAAGTATCAAACCAAAGTTTGTTAGGTATTTCGGGAAGAACATGCCATGGGGGGAAACGCAATTCTCTACAGAGACAAGTACTGATCGGTTCTGTTAATCAATTCGTCTCGCGCTGCAGTCAAGGCGGAAATAATAAATAGATTCCACAGTCGCAAACCAGAGATACCTTTAGGTAATTTGTGGCGACAATGCAGGGGCAAGAGCCATCAAATCAAATCGCACTCTTGACTTAGAAAACTTGGAAACCAACCATACCATGACAGGATGCCTGGCCGAGATGGTGTGTCACAGCCGGCCCTTCCAGAGGGCACATGGATAACTGAGCTGAACCCCTCTGCGCCGCTTACTTCTCTTGGAGCCACTACGAAGCTCAGGTGCCGCTCTCTAACGTGGCATGTCGTGTCATTCATGCCAATCAGAATAAATTGGTTGGTTGTCATGACAAGCCACTGAACAACTTTAAATATTTGGTGCAATGAAGGAAGAGGGGTGTTACGACCCATCAAGGATATGTGACAGACATTCCCAAACGTCAATGATGATGCTTTGGGCGTATTCCAACTTCTGTTCGACCCGGTTGGGCTTTATTAGTCTGCTTACTGCTTGATGTTGATCGTCGAATTGTGAAAGGAGGGCACAGGCTTCTTGTTTCGTGATTCGTCGGTTTTAATTAGCAACCTCAATTCTATGATTGTCACATTCTTTTCGTGGGCTTTTTATCTTTTTATCTTTTTTTTTTTTTTTTTTTTGGACTTTATTATGAGCACATCTTTTAGTTGGCACAGAGTAAGAAAAAGACGACTGCGATTGAGATTCCTCAACGTCAACGACCTCTGCCACGTAAATCCTCAACCAATCATCAGGAACGGCTCAGCAAGACATGTTAATCAAAAGCATTTTATATAGACCTCGCCACCAGGCAGTTTAAAAATGCAGTGTTTAAAGCGGCGGCAGGGTTCAAGGAGGCTTCGACTTTTATCCAGCGTACTACATCATGTGCCATGTCAAATCGGCCCAGTTTGTGCCCATGGTTTGCCCTCAATCTGAGGGGTCCTTTCACAAACAAGCTTTGTTAAACTATGGACAGAGGGCAAGCGATCCTACATGTATGTACGGGGTATGAAGCAGAAGATGGAGGGCGTGCCGGGCATCGTCCGCAGTTTGGCGACGTCGGACAATAGACATAGAGACCCACTATACATGTGGTGCTTCCAGGAGATTCACAAGCTGCCGAGGAACAAAGGATATAACGGGCCAGGAGCCTACGAAGAAGAAGCGCTTGGCCAGGGTCTTTTCGTCGAAGGAAGCATTTCCTCTCCACCCCCAACCCATGCGGGGCAAACCTGGGGAATAGCGCCGTGTCGCTCATCGGACACTTGCCTCATTGGGCAGGCAATGCCCGGGTACAGGTGCAAAGGGACTCGGATCATGGCGATCTAGTCCCGCCAAGGTTGAAGGCTGCATTGTACATTATTTGTGGGTGTCGTTACTTCCTTCTTGTTTCGCCGCAAGGTTTGCAGATTGCCAGTTCGACCGAGCAGGTAAACCCTGGTGGGAATACTTAAATTCAGCCATTGTTCCCTCTCGATCGCCTTTTCGGGTATGTTGAAGATTGGCTTGTTCTTCTTCAATTCCACGACGTCGGACCTGTCCTGTCTTGTTACAACACCCCTTTCACACCACTAATTATTTATCCTTTCTTTACTATCATCAGGTCAACATGTCGGAAAAGAACGAGGTCACCCAGACCGAGAATGGGACTGTCCCCAGGTCCAAGAAGCGAACTTGCGCCAGACACTGCAAACGCTTCTGGTGGGTTTATCTCATTATTCTCTGTGTCATTGTTGTCATCGTGGTTCCCGTGATGTAAGTTGCAAGCCGCTGTTCCTTCACGCGTCCATTGCAGAACTGACTTTACCCCCTTAGAATTCTTGTCGCTGTTCCGAAGATTGCACAAAGTAAAATCAACGAAGCCAAGTTGGAAATCCAATCCGTTCGAATTCTTAACGCCAAGAGTGACGCTTATCTCATGGAAATCGGGTCTTCTATCACAACTGATGGCAAGATCCATGCCAAGGTTGATCCTTTCGAGGCCGAGATGTATCTCGAGGATTGGCCAGCACATGTGGCGTTTGCTACCGTAAAGATGCCAGAGACCAACAGCAACAAACACCAGGTCGTCAATGTCAGCCAGCAGGTCACGATTACCAACATGGAGGAATTCACTCGTTTCAACGTCTGGTTCCACAACAATGAGACAGTCCGTGTCACCGTGTACGGAAAGACGAAAGTGAAGCCAAGCGGTCTAACGCGCAAATACGGCGTCACCTTCAAGAAGACATTGGAACTCAAGGGTCTCAACCATTTCGCTGGCACTGAAGTCAACGACGGCCACATCGGTTTTGGTAGTGGTAAAGACGCACCCAACTTCAACGGCACTACCACAATTCCAAACGCTTCCGTGTTTACACTAGATAATGTAAGCTATCACTCACAATCTACGCATTTGCCAAACTAATCATGAATTCAGGGCAACGTCACCTTCACAAATTTTGTTGGGGATGTCGAAGTCGGCACCCTGACGATTCCAAACTTGGTGCTCAAGCCCGGTGACAACGTCGTCAACATCACCGCCAGCATGAACCAGAGCATCATACTCAACGCCGTCCAGCAACAGCCCTACTGCAAAACAGGCATCCTCCCCTTCAAGTTACTGGGCAAGTCGGTTGTCAACCATGGTGAAAACCTTACCTATTTCGCCGCAGCACTGGCGAGTTCAAATCAAACAGTTGAAATCGACATTGGTGCCATCTTGAAGAAGGACCTCGATTACGAGGTCAAGTGCGAGAGTAAGAGTGATTAATTGCAGTATTCATTGGTATTTGGGCTGCATGCCATGTGTACATGGAAGCAACGAAGGGTCATGAATAATGCAATCTGGCAGCGATGGATGATGTAGGCCGTTAGGTCGATTAATGCAAAACTACCAGGAGGTGTAGTTTGGCCAAAGGCGCGGGCGGTTATAATGATACCTTTGATTAGAGTCATCCAGTATCCATTAGGTCTCTGAACGAAAACTACTAGCTCTCCATGTCGTGAGTGTGGTCCTGGTCATGTTCCTTGGTAAAGAGCTATCGCCGCGATCATATGTTGTAACCTGTCACCTTCATCCTTAGTTCCAACTACTTTTCCGTTTCTCGCCTCTTGAAAGCCCACTTCTCGCTGTTGCATCCTGGCCGGCCACTGTTGACGAGGGGACAAATTCAACAGTCGTCCTGGTACCAGTGGTCTTCTCTGCCTCTTTCTCCTTCAGCAATTTGTCGTGGCTCTTCCGTAGCTTCTCCTTAAACGCCCAGTCTGGAAACGCTGCAGGATTCCACAAGTCTGTAGCTAATGTAGTTGAATACTGACTGTGCTCGCCGACTTCGACAAATCTCATCAGTTTATCCATCAAACTGGGGTTTTTTAGTGCAGTTGATTGCTCCAGTTTGGTATTGAAGTGTGTTCCCTTCTTCTTGAGCTCGAGGAATTTCTCAAATTTCTCGTTTGTGCCAGGTGGTGGTGATCCTGGGGGCGATGGTGGAATGTCTAGGTTAGGAGCTGATGGTAACGTCAAGTCACGAAGAAGAGCACGATAGCTCGAGTATGGTGAAGCAGGTCTAGATGCTGGATCTTGGTCATCCACAACAGCTCCTTCCATGGGCGGTAGGAAAGGTCCCAAGGGTGCAGCATTTTGTTGAATTGGGGCGATGGGAACGTATCTAAGACTCTTATACTCAGAAGCTACATAGTAGCAAGGTCAGAGAAGGCTTGCAACAGAATCAGGCGTATTGAGTGCGAGTGGGGAGATCTTTCCTTACCCGATGTGTTGGTTTTCTCCGTTACTTCCTGTTCATTATCTGTAGTGTTCACTCTTTGCTGGTGATAATTAGACAAAGTTGTTGCTATGTAGGAGAATAGTCATGGGATATTTCTTACCTTATTCTGAGATAGAGAAGATTCCACCTCTTGCATTTCTTCCTCATCATCACTACTTGCATATCCGACGAGGCCGGCCATACTGTCACTTTGAACTTTGAGATGTTAGAGATGAGACTGACAATCAATCAACATGAAACCGAGGTAGCTTGACCTAGAATCCGTTTGAGACTAGCGCGGCTCTTCTGTGGGTCTTTTGTTGGATAAAGCCCGGATAATGAACCCCAGACTTTCAACCCATCAGCCTTCCAAGAAGCTTAGAGTTTATTCTCACATCAACACATCGGCCTTCCCTATACTCATCCGAAGACAACCTGCGACACCTAATTCGGACGACGCGCTTGAGAGAAGCTTACGGGTGTGTGAAGTTGCGCCGCGAATATACGATCTCGCGCTTGTGGCGCATTGCCTAGGCTTCGGTCTTCCTTCAAAGTACTACTCACCAACGAAGTGTCCTGCTGAGCCTGCGAGACCACCAATAATGGCTCGGCCGAGAGACTCGCGCTCACCAAGTCCTGCAGGCAGCACCCATAGTTCTCGCCGTCGCCGCAATGATGATCGTCGAGCTAGGGATCGACGTAATGACGGACGGGACCATCGGCGACGTAGCAGATCACGCAGCCCAGATGTGAGATGGCAAAAACCTAACTATGGCCGGTTTTATTCTGACGATCTTATCCATGAACAGCCCAGAAGCCGCGATCGCGAAAGAGATAGAGACCATGGGCGAGAGCGAGATTATTATCGACGGAGAGACCGTTCTATAGACCGGCGCGACGACAATTATTACCGAGGTGGACGACGAGACCACCGCGAAAGAGATCGGAGGAGATCCCGAGAACGCTACGATGATCGCAATCGATCACCCGATAGGCGACATAACCACAGCCGAGAAGGTGATCGGGATGTGAGAAGGCGAGACGACTCCCGCAACCGCACCCCTGGGCGCCGTGAGGGTACGGCTGACTCCCTTACTCGCAGCATTCGTGAAGACGGCAGAACAAAGAAGATCTCCCTTGGCGGCAGCGAGAAACCTGATACTGAGGAGGTTCGATTGCAGTCTCTCTTTCATGAAAGTATTGCTGATAGATGTCGATTGCAGGCGCCCAAGGCAGATTCTGGACAGCCAGAGGTTGACAAGAAGGCTGAGCGATTAGCCAAACTCGAAGCATGGAAGAAGAAGAAGGAGAATGCTAGCCAGAAACAAAAAGAAGTAAACCCGAGCCAGACAAGGAACCTCTTGGCTGAAATGGACAAGAAAGCGAGTGGGGCGTCCTCGAAAACAGTTTCTCCGTCAGTTTCTGTGAATGCTTCGCCAGCTGCAACACCGACTGTTGCTTCACCTGTCCTCCCATACTCTGGCAAGTTTGACCCTAAGGCCATCGCAAAGAAATCGGCAGCTTCCCGGACACACGAAGGCGTTAAACCAGCCTTGGGCTCTCTGGGGGGGCAACCCGAAAAGCTCCCGGTCCCTGCCAAGCCCTCAGTGCCTGTAAAACCGTCTACCAGCGGTAGGTTCTCGTCCTCGGTTCTCCCATCAAGCTCAACTGACCAACCTATACTAGCATCAGCTCTCCCTGCGAATCGAACAAAAGCTAGTGGGTTTGGATTCGTGAAGAACAGCACAGAAACTGACAAGCTCCCCACTAAACGGAAACTTGATTTGGATGAAGAAGACACTACTAAACGAAAACTTACTAAGCTTCCTGCCCTGCCCATCGAAGCTGATGACACTCCATATGCTGATCAGGACGATGATGAATCTGATGGTGACAACTTTGCGGAGACTGAAGAGGAGGCCGCCGCTGCTGCTCGTGCAGCTCATGAGAGACGGTTGCAGGCAGAGAATCAAATGGATAGGGGTGAGGAAGAGTCAAAGACGACCGAAACCCAGATCAATGGAGCTGCCATGTCAAACAACAACGCCGCTGAACCCAACACCACCACACATATGGAAATTGATGAGGAGGAGGATGACGTTGATCCACTGGACGCATTCATGGCTGATCTTAAGCAGACAGACGTGAAACAGCCGGCTAGGACATCCAAAGCGCAAAAGATCCAGGAGCCGGAGGCTTACTTCAGCGACGATGAATATGATTTCAATAAGAAGGACGCGGGTGACGCAAACGCCTTACTGGCCATGACTGCGAAGCGAAAGAAGAAAGACATTCCGGCGATTGATTACAGCAAGATCGAAATTGAACCTATTCGCAAAAACTTCTGGGTCGAGCCAGCTGAACTCAGCCAACTCACAGAGGCCGAGGTAGCTGATCTTCGCCTAGAACTCGATGGCATCAAGGTCAACGGCAAGGATGTTCCCAAGCCTGTTCAGAAATGGGCGCAATGTGGTCTGACGCGACAAACACTCGACGTCATTGATAACTTGGGCTTTGAGAAACCTACCCCCATACAGATGCAGGCTCTTCCTGCTCTCATGTCGGGCCGCGATGTCATCGGCGTGGCGAAGACTGGTTCGGGAAAGACAATGGCATTCTTGCTTCCCATGTTTCGGCATATCAAGGACCAGCCTCCACTGAAAGATACAGATGGGCCTATCGGATTGATTATGACTCCAACACGAGAACTTGCAGTCCAGATTCATCGAGACTGCAAACCTTTTCTCAAGATGATGGGTCTTCGATCTGTCTGTGCCTACGGTGGAGCGCCCATCCGAGATCAGATTGCTGAACTCAAACGTGGCGCGGAGATCATTGTGTGTACACCTGGTCGAATGATCGATCTCCTAGCTGCGAACCAAGGGCGGGTCACTAATCTCAAGCGAGTGACATATGTTGTTCTTGATGAAGCCGATCGAATGTTCGATATGGGCTTCGAGCCTCAAGTCATGAAGATATTCGCAAATATGCGACCTGATAGGCAAACTATCCTCTTCTCGGCTACGATGCCTCGCATCATCGACTCACTGACCAAGAAGGTACTCAATAATCCTATCGAGGTTACAGTGGGCGGCCGCAGTGTTGTGGCAAAGGAGATTGATCAGATCGTTGAAGTTCGAGATGAGCCATCCAAGTTCCTGCGTGTTCTCGAACTGCTTGGAGAGCTCTACGACCGTGACGAGGATGCCCGCACCCTCATTTTCGTGGAACGTCAAGAAAAGGCGGACGATTTATTGAAAGAGCTTATGATCAAAGGTTACCCCTGCATGTCCATTCATGGAGGTAAAGATCAGATTGATCGTGATTCTACCATCTCAGACTTCAAGAAGGGTGTCGTGCCTATCTTGATCGCTACTTCGGTGGCAGCTCGTGGTCTTGATGTCAAGCAACTCAAGCTCGTTATTAACTACGACGCACCGAACCACTTGGAGGATTATGTTCATCGTGCTGGCCGAACTGGTCGTGCTGGCAATACTGGTGTCGCTGTCACATTTGTCACGCCAGAGCAGGAGAACTGCTCTGTCGGTATTGCCAAGGCTCTTGAACAGAGTGGGCAGCCGGTGCCAGAAAGGCTCGACGAGATGAGGAAAGCTCATCGTGAAAAAGTGAAATCTGGCAAGGCCAAGGATACATCTGGCTTTGGCGGCAAGGGTCTCGATCGTCTTGATCAGGAACGAGAGGCTGCCCGCCTCCGTGAGCGCAAGACCCACAAGGCCGAGGGCGAGGAGGAGGAGGTCAAAGAAGATAAGAAGGAAGAGGAGGACGATAAGGCAGAGAAGGCTCTCAGTGCGATCCGCGCAGCAGCGTCAGGCGTTCAATCGCGCGAGTCAGCAAAGGCTGAAGGCGCAGAAGTCAAGCCTACTCAACAGGCAACCATTACTAGTGGAGTAAAAGACAAGTCTAAAGACCCGCTCGACAAGGTCAGCTCAGCTGTGTCCGCCATCAACAGCCGCCTCGGAAAGGCTGGCCAACTTCGTGCTGGTCAGCCCATCGACAACAAGGGCCCAGATGCTGGTGCATTCCATGCCACATTAGAAATCAACGACTTCCCTCAAAAGGCCAGATGGGCTGTCACCAACCGAACCAACGTCGCCAAGATCCTGGAAGCTACAGGTACATCGATCACAACAAAGGGCAACTTTTACCCACCAGGTAAAGAGGTTCCCGCTGGAGCCGAACCCAAACTGTACATTCTCATCGAAGGCGATACCGAAGTTGTTGTTGGATCCGCTCTCAGCGAACTCACGCGCCTATTAAGAGAGGGAACAATAGCTGCTGCAGATGCTGACAGTCGAGCACCAGCCAGTGGGCGATATACAATTACCTAGCCATATGAGGTCTTTCGATGAAAGAATGCCGACCCGCTGCCTTCATTACACTTACATGGGCTGGCTTGTTGATGGACGGCGTTGCAGAGGCTACGTGGAAGTTTGAAGAGGAAAATGTATACAAATAGGAGTTAATCATGGCATTGCACGCCTACTTCGGTGGAAAGCCATAGGGGAACATTGGTTAACGCTGAACCCACCAAGTTTCTGAACTTGTAACTTTTTCGAAATAAAACATCTATAATATTGCTTGAAAATACTTTGAAATAAGAGTCCAACTGAACATGAACGAAAATCTTGGAACTGCTAGACCGCCATTGAGTGATCACAATGTGTAGACGTTGCCTTCTACTCGCGAACCGGCTACTCTGCGCCATCTTGTGACCTGCCAGCTCTTAAGAAGTCAACACTGAATCATCATGCCCAATTCCGTGCTTCAGCTGCTTGATCGGCCTCACGCGCTCGCAGTTGCTCTTGGCCGGCGTCCTTGAGGGTTTCTGAACGTGTCTGTTTCTTCTGTGCTGCTAGTTGTGTCTGCAACTTTCCACCTGGCTTTGAGGATGCTTTTGCGCGCGCCTGCAATGCTCAGTCAGTCAAAATCACAATAATAATACCATGACAGTCACGCGATAGGGGGCGATCTCACCTCTGCAGCTTCCGCGGCTTTCCTCCGGGCGTCATCCGTATCTCCTGAAGCTTCCACAGCTGGGCCACTTCCCAAAGTCCTTGGGGGGCCTCCGACCTTTTTTGGAACAGGCGCTGTGCCCGCGGCTGGAGTGGGAGCGGAACCCAAGACTCTGCCAGGTTGCGAAAAAGCCTCTGGCTCTGTCTTTCCGCAGATGTTGCCCATGGCTGCCGACGGTGTGGTGCGGTGGATTTAATGTTTATTGTTTTCTATTGGGCTATACCGCAGGGGACACAAGGCAAAGAAAAGTCTGGCCGTGTGCTGAAATTGTCAGATTGAAATTTGATGAATTGAACGAGAGCGTTGTGTGGCAGCGAGACGTGAGGCTCGAGTTTCTTTATGCCAAGATCTGGGGTCAGGAGGGGTTTCCGTATAAGGAAACAAGGTAGGTAGGAACCGTTAGGCTTTGCGATACCCCCAATACAGTGTCGGTGAATGTCAGTGTATAAAGAGATCTGGTGACAATCACTCAGTCGTGGTGAAGTCAGTTACTCCTTGTAGGCAACTCTGCGGTCATGAAGAACTTGCAAATGATAATCGTGACGGTATATATTGGAGCGCTGCGCCCCCAGGGGCATGTGAGCAACGTTGAGGGAAGGAGGGCGATGCAAACATCAGCTTGTCAGGCCTATTGATTGAAAAGAACACACTCATAAACACACTTGAAGCAGTGTATAATAGCCTAAGATAAGCCCTTTTAGCTTATTCTGTGATTACGTGTCGTTAGTCTTGCTGCGTAGTGCGAGTCGTAACAGTAGGCAAATGCAATTACCTCAACTCCATTGACTGCATATCTTTGACAGATAGGTAGTAATGATGGTTATCACATTGGTTTTCGAGTGGCTTGCTTTATTAGTATACCTCTGTCCAACTAAGGTAGGTAGTTTGAGTGACGGAGAGCATTACGGAGGGAAGTGGGTCTATGTCTGCCGCACCCGGAGCGGGGAGTTGCGTTCAGGAAGAGTATATGGACATTGCTGCGAACATATTGTATCATTTATTCGTAAAGGTAAGTTTTATCATTGCTCACATCCTGGACAATATATATGGGTGTCAACCATACCCGTATACCATTGTATCTCAATGTCTCGAGTGGTTACTCACTATCTGTACCAATTCAAAGCCATATCAACGTAAACGCAGGTCAATGTGCAGTAGCTGCTTGATACTTGAAGCTTATGACGTCTCAACGAGACATGTCAAACCAACACACCGAGATCAATATGCAGTAGCCTCAACAAGTTTAATATCGTTTTCAGTCTGGAAATGCCAACCTGTATCTGAGTGGCTGGTGTCGTTGTCAATGCATACAGTGGATAATACACAAGCATAGGGTAACTGTCCTGAAAACTTGAGTTTATCACCCAACTATATGGTCAATCAGCAGCACATGCGGTTCATATGACAGCAGGCTATTCGGTGGAAATATATAGATTCTGTTCTTAATATAGCTACCAATAGTTAGTGGAAAATGTTACAGCTTTAGGTATGACTATGTTAGCGGGCATAGACGCGCATCTACACAAGCTGGTACTGAGGAATCGGTATAAATGGTCACAATAGTTACAACAGTAAACGATCAACAATCAGCAAACCAACGGGCAGAAGAGACGCAGCAATGAGGTAAGACCGGCGCCCAGCCATCCCGGGATAATATCCGCTGCAAGTCACTGAGCCAGTTGTATGGGCCATATCGTCAGTGCTCTAGTCGGAAAAGTTACCGAGAAACATGCTGGAGCGATGAAGTGGATTGACTTCACATAAAGTAGTGTACAGAGACTAAGTTATTTCATCGACGCAGAGATTGGTATATCATAGTCATTGGCCATATCCATGCACGCCGCAGACGATCAAGAGACATGAACCCCACGCGGAATGCAGTGATTGACTCGACTTCGAGGCATTGAACAGTTCGGCTATAGACTGATAAGAAACAAAGGATAAATACTGACCGAGGTTGACACAGCTAACAGGACTGGCTGTTTACGTGCAAGGTACGGAGTAGGTTTGGAAGAAATCTTAAGCCTTTCACTTGCTAACATAAGGTACTTAGGTATTCCATCAGGTAGATTATTGCTCACTTACCTTGGTAGGTAGTGTTAAAAACAATTCGTTAGTTCAGGGAAGATAGAAGCGAACGAACGAATGCCTACTGCCTCTGCGACCTGGTAGGTACTCACCAACCCTCCAAGTACTTGCCTTGTCTCCCAATCCCTCCATCATCATTGGCTGAGCCTAATTGTTCCAGGAAGCTGGTCCCACTAAAACGCACCATGGCCCACTGGAGTTCACAAAGTGCCTTTTAGTGTCATACCGTGCCCCTCCACCTTCAACCCTTAGGTTGAGCCGCCTGGCCATCCGGGTTCTCACTCTCTTCGATTCTCTTGGGCCGTTCGCAACGTCCCATTAGGGCCGCCCGGGCCTTCGCATCCTACTAATGCCGTCGATGGGCAACTCAATCATCAATTTAACTCAAAAACATCCGCGCGCGAGAGTAAAGAGAGAAGCAATCGCGCTATCATACTGAGTGATTGCTGTTGTGATTCCATAGTTATATGCAATCATGGACCACTCAGCGCCTTTCGCTCATCATCACCAGCAGCAAAACCAGTCAACTTCTTTCGAATCCGAAAAAGTCGACTATGGCTTTGACAGTTTGCTCGGTCACGATACATGCCTGACACATGGTCTCGATTCTCTCGGTACCTGCAACAACACCGAGAACGCTTGTCTCGACCAACGCTGTTTTGACCACTATGGTAAAACTGCTACCACCAAGAACGCTCTTGACATCGGCCTCGATCTTAAGAACGGTACTGATACGGTCTCTCAGCGTCATGACCAGGTCAACAACGCCCGTTCCACAAGGGCAAAAAGCCGTAGCCAGTCAAACATATCCAGTTCTCCTTCAAGAACATTGTCTACTGCGGCAATGAGAGTCTCAGCGCACCGACAAAAGCGAAGGAGACAGTCTGAGCAGACGCATCAGTATCACAGCCAACTGGAATATCAGCAGTCTTCGCATGTGCATCAAATGCACTCTCCTCATAGCATTCAACAGGATCAGAATCTCCAGCACATCGACCCTACAGCTGTTCTTCAGACCGTCAACGAGAATCTGCAGCACAGCTTCAACATGCCACTGTTAGACAGCCAACATACATCCTTTGGCGAATTCCAACACCAAAACCACGCATTTTCAGTGCCCAGTCTCTATGATCGTTGGCCACAAGCCGTTGCTCCCTCCTGGGCTAACATGATGGGACAGGCCAACGTCGCTAATTGCATGCCGATGTCGTGGACACAACATATGGGATGCAACAACGCCACCTCTGTTGACTGCACTTCTGCGTGCGGCGACGCCAAATGCTGGAGTCAATGTGGCGACGGAGATCATGCGGACTGTTGCTTCGATGCTTCTTGTGACGAGTTTGATTTCTCCCATGCTGCTTGTTGCTTTGAACCCACTTGTGCTGCCCTTGAGCCATGCCTTGACACCTCTTGCCAGGAGGCCGCAATCCCCTGCAACGATTCGCATTGCGTGAGCACCACCGTGTCAACCACTCCGGCGTCTGTGTCTGTTACAACACCCTCGGCAGAGCCTGAACCCGTGGTCAATACCCTAATGAGTCCAGTCGAACCAGGCCAGGGCGTTCCTCTGGATATTGACTCCGCGATCGGGAATGACTTTGGCCATTTCTCTCATGAAATCGGACCTAGTTTTACTGATGATCTCAACCAGCACGTCGGAAACCTTGCAAGCCGTCCAAGTGGCCCAGGGCTGAGCCACAATGGCGCCTTTTCCATGCCCTCACAATCTCCCACACCGAAAACCGAGTTAGCTGAGAAGCAAGCTATAAAAGGAGAAGCCGAGTTCACCTGCCAATGGCTTTGTGAGGGAGATGGAGTCCTCTGTTCCAAAAGGTTTGGAAGTAATAAAGAACTCCAGGACCACTGTAAGAATGAGCATGTCAAGAATCTGCAGAAGGGCGAAAATGGGTTTTGCTGCACATGGTACGCTTGTATAAGACCCGGTCCATTCTCACAAAAGAGCAAACTGGAACGACATATGCAGACACATACCGGATGTGAGTTGTATCTCAGTTTCCATTTCAAAGAACGTACTAATTTATACGATAGACAAACCCGTCAAATGCGAGATTTGCGGCATAATGCTTTCAGCAAAGCAATCTCTGGAGCAGCACATGCGTACCCACTCGGGAGAAAAACCATGGAAGTGCGATCATCAGGGGTGTGAGGCGCGATTCAAACAACAGAGTGCTCTTAGTAAATATGTCAACTCCTGGCTCAATACCAAATGCTAACCCGCTCTTTAGCCATGCATATGCGCACGCATACAGGAGAGAAGCCTTTGCAGTGCGAAATCTGTGGTAAGCGGTTCGGCGAATCCTCCAATCTATCCAAGCACCGTCGCACGCACAATGTTCGCGGTAACCACGTTTGTGAGCACTGTGGCAAAGACTTTCATCGGCTGGATCAACTTCGTCGGCATCTGCAGACTCATCTGCAAGATGGCGGCCGCAAGACTAGCAAAAGCTCATGAGATGTAGCTCTGAAACTTCAGAGTTGAGGATATCTCATTTGAAAGAGAGAGAAAAGGGAAAGCTGCCGTCGTTTGGGATTTTGAGATCGGTACTGGCGTTGAAGGTTTCCGTAATTAAGCCCCTTTGAAATTTGTGATGAAAACTGGCGTTCCTGGACCATGCTGCTCCGGACGAGCCATATGATATTTACGAAGTGAGCGGAAGACTCAGATAAAGGTAGATAGATACCCGATTCCATAATGGACACGAAAAAGATCAAGCTCTCGATTTGTATGACCATGCATGATCCAGAATGTTCGGCCGAGCGGGATAGGTACTTGCAGTATATAATTGGTGCATACTGTTTCCGATGTTGTGTAATGATCTCGTTTTGTCAATGGGGGGAAGACCGGGAGGGGAGTATTTGAATCTTCATTGTCGCCCACCGATAGCTTGTTCATTCGTCCCCCATACTGTCCATTGAAAGCACTGGCCGAAGGCCAATGCAATTGGTACACGGGATCCAATTACGAAAAGTAATTTCAGTGACTGATATGTGAGATCAGTGAGGCAACACGACCAACAGATGTGCCCAGTTCGTTGAAGATGAACGAAGGAGTTGAAGAATAAGAAGCTGGGTTTCTTCTGTGTCCTCTTCACTCATTGATGGAGAGATGTCGTTGGGGTTATGGTGGGGGTGATGCAGGTTGGGGCGATCCGAGGCGCCTCTAAAGACCAACCGGATGTGGCCGACCCCGTACAAAAGAATTTTATCAGTATACCTTAGGCCCAAGAGATCCAGGGCCAGTTTGAATCCAGTTGACCAATTAACATAAACCAACGCAAAATCTGGAGTAAGTCTCTGGAGGATATGGTAAATGGTATATCTTTCAGATTCCTGCCAGAGCAATAAGGCTTTGATTGTCCAAGGCATACGATCCCTTCCTACATGGACAGAGCCATCTTGTCACAACTATCACAAGGGTGCACTCAGAACTTCTTGATCATGACCTCATTTTTGTTTTTAAAAGACTGCCTGTCCAGGCAGTCCGTTGTGGACATGCCGTCCCGAATCGAGGCCCAAGCCGGGAAATAAGTACAAGTCAGACCGAGATTCCCTGAGCCATGCGATGCAAATTTCGAAGCCTTTAGTTCAAAGAAAAAGCACGCCACGCCCTCCATACCCCGTTTCCTTTCTACCAGTTGTCCTTGTCACGCCAGAAACTATCAAGCATTTTAACTTAAGCCTGCATTCTTTTCGTCAGTGTTTGGTTTTCGGGACGTGTGTTTTGCCATATAGAGTTGTTAATTCTCCAAAGGCGTCGAATCATCGTACCTTGATGGCGAACTTGCGCTGAGGGAAGTGAACAGTGCGCTTCTTGGTCTTCTCGAGGACACGGGACTTCTCCTCGGGTGATAGTCGACGGCGGATGGCACGAGTCTGCTTGGGTCGGAGGTCGAGAGGGGCGTACTTCTTGTTCTTATAGAAGAGTCGAAGCTGAGCCCTTTGCTTGGCGTTGATAACGGTCAGGACACGGGCGATCGACTTGCGGATGTCATGACTGTTTGAAACGTATTAGCCATACGTCGCTATTGATTTTACGATGTCCTCCAACACCACTGTTGCAGAGAGAGAAATGCTCACATCCTGTTCAGCTTGGAGCCAGAAGAGGCGACCTTCTGGATGCGGAGTTGACCAAGCTCGGTCTTGAGCTCAGCGAGCTGCTTTGTCAAATCATCCTTGTTCTTGCCCCAGAGCGCACCAGCCTTGACCTTGCCCGACGACTACAACCTGTCAGTGATTTGTCCTTCCCACATTATGTTTTGTGGGTTGCTAGATCGAAACAATGGCCGAGGTTCGAGAGTGGGAAAACGATCGTGAATGTGTTTTGTGTGGTTTGGTCGATGAAAAGTTCGAATGGTTTGACAGCCGCACGAGACGGCGACAAAACAAGCCGACAACTACCGTGACAGAGGGCGAGGATCATTCGTACTCACCATCTTGAATAGCTTCGAAGTGGTATGCGAAGTGGTGTCGACGAGGTGTTGCGAAGATATCTGCCTCAAGCTTTCAGTGAGTGTCGCGATATCGTTGCCGTGCACAGGTTAAGAAATTTAGGGCTTGAGGCAGGAGTGGGGCAGCCTCCTGCACAAAGAATTTTGATTTCGGGATAGCACGTGTTATGTCACGCTGCTTATCACATGATCAGGCGAGCGTAAGGCGGTGTCCAATTCTGCCATCTCTCGGCAAGGGTGGTCAGGGAGTTAGTTACCTTAGTTGATGAGTGAGGTGGAAGGCTAGTACCGTTTGATGATCATACGAATACATCACCATATTGTCACAAACCCCAGAGTTCTAATAGACATAATGTCGACAACGAATGGAGTCGCCGGATGGGCTCAGCTCCGACAACAAGCTCGACAGTTGGAGACCCAGGTACATCAAACGATACCAAGCGCCAGACTATTAGCTGACGTCGTTGTAACTTAGACGGATACCTTGTTCCACACATATTCGCAATTCTCGACAGCCTCTAACGTACCACCAAAACCCACAGAAGAAGAGCGCGAGACAGAAAGAAAGCTGGAAGAACTGCTAGAGAAGGTATACACTGATCCTGTTTGCTAACAAGCTGCTATATAACATACTAACATTGCATCAGCGCGAAACTGTCAACGGCCAGCTTAGTCGACTTCTTGATTCCGAACCCAATCTCGCATCCTCCGCTTCAAAACAGAACAACCTGTCCCTCCTTCGAAGGAAGCTTACTGGCCATCAGAGAGATCTGGCGCGCCTGCGTTCAACACTGCAACAAGCGCGCGATCGGGCCAACCTTCTGACCAATGTCCGCTCGGATATCGATGAATACCGCCAGAACAACCCTGAAGCTGCCGAGGCTGATTACATGCTGGAAGAGCGTAATCGCATTGACAACAGCAACAGTATGGCGGACAGTGTTCTCAGCCAAGCGTACGCAGTCAATGACAACTTTAATTTGCAGCGCGAAACCTTGGCGAGTATCAATCGGAGGATTACGCATGCGGCAAGCCAAGTACCTGGGATCAATACCCTGATTGGGAGGATATCAGCAAAGAAGAGGAGGGACGGGATCATCATGGGAAGCTTTGTCGCGTTCTGTTTCATTGTCTTCTTCCTCTTCTCGTAAAACTGGCGAGCTTGCTTTTGTATGATGCACAGGTGTTCAGGGGTATCAGCGTGTTTTATATTGTACAATCATGGTCGGACCATGGGTGTCTAGGATGTCTAAAGTTACAATCGTCTTCCTCTACCAGAAGGCGTCTAATTACAGCATTTTCGGAACCTCAAGATGGTGTTTACCTGGATGTTGCTCCTTTGCAGTGGCGGGCAAGGTAGCTTCATTCCTCATCTCGTCAGCTATACGTGAGAGGCCCTTTGCCAAGCCTTCTGCTTCAACGGGATGAGCAGTTCCGCTGCCCGCCCATCGAACCCGGCAATACTGATCGACAAGAAAGACGTATCCGACCTTGCTGTTGAGTAGACCGATGGATTCGCGAATATCGTCGGTAACGCCTCGTCGGACAAGGAAGTATTTATCCCAATCCTTCTCTGGGAACTGCTTTCGCAATGAACCCAGAAATAAGCGCACCAGCCATGCCTTGCCAGCATTATCTTCATAGTTGATGTTGACAATCTGTGTCGTGTCCGGGTGCCTATTTAGCACTTCATGAAGCCCGGGGTTTTCCCCCTTAGATGTGAAGGTCGCAGCTTGCTGCTCAGCCCAGCGGCTGCTGAAGAAAGAGACGACTGTTGCCTTGCCAGTAAGGAGTGGTGTAGTATCGCGCGGGTTCTTATCCGTCTTCAGTAGAGTTTCGCCGTAAAAGTTGGGGAAGAATAGTGACAACTCGGCCTTAAATAGGCGTGGAGGCGCGATGAAGGATTTACCCTCATGGTATTGAAGGTTACCCCAATCTCGAAAGTACGGCCGTGAAATCTTCGCAGTTCTGTGTACAAAGAAGCGTTAGTGTGTGCGTGCGTGTTGCCAGCCAGCCATAATGCTCTTACAACTCCTTGCGCCGTTGCAAGTGCTTGTCATAATTTACAAAATCCTCACGGCGCTGTCGCAGTGATCGATTATCAATTCCAGTGTTCTCTCCAGCTTTAGGCGGCAGGGGCATTCCGATCGGACGAGGAAGAGGTTTCGGTACGAAGTGTCCTTCTTGTCGCTTTCCATAACTTCGCGGGGCCTCAATCGGCTTAGCAACGTTTTCTTGAGGATTTAACGATGCACCAGATCCAGGCTTTTCAGTCCTCGCTAGTCGGATGGTCGAAGTCGTGAATGGGCGACGAGCCTCGCAAAGGAAACATGTTAGAGGTCGGCGAGCGACGCTGGAGAGGCTCAGCTCGAGTCGTCGTGATGCCATCATGGCTGGCAGGGGAGGGGACGGGGCGGGCTTTGCGGCTCTCCAAACAAACCTGACCCGACGTTGAAAATTCACTTGAGTTCCATTCCACAGAGTCCCCACGTTTGACGGGAGCAGTGGAGCCCAGGGCCATTGGATCGGCAGTGTGGGGGTTGAGATAGAGCCGAAGATGCGGTTCGGTCGGGCTTAGTATTCGCCAGTGCCGTCATTCCCCCGGATTGGCGGTTATCCACGGACGGGGCCGATGGAAGCCAGCCTTTCGGCTTAAACTACCATGGATATTTACCATCTCCTCTCTCTTATGAGGATGACTCGGGCTCTTTTATTGGCAGTCTCTGACCATCCTTCTCCTCCTTACAGGCCCAATCGCTAGCAATCATGTTTCTTCAACGAGGATCTCGTGCGCTACAGAAGCAATGGCATGTCGCTAAAGGCATGGGCAATATGGTGGTGGGCTCTCGAGCTCCTATGATGGCCAAGACTCAAAGATGGTTCAGTGAATCCAGAAGATTAATGGCTATCAAACCTGTTGTTCTGGCTGACATTGGCGAAGGTAAGCCTGTGAATGCGAATTTTCCCATGTCATCCGCTCTGACTAACACAAGCCAGGTATCGTCGAATGTGAAGTCATTCAATGGTTCGTGGAACCCGGTGCCCGCGTCGAAGAGTTCTCTCCGCTATGCGAAGTCCAAAGTGATAAGGCATCTGTGGAGATTACAAGCCGCTTCTCAGGCGTGGTCAAGAAGCTGCACTACGAAGCTGGCGAAATGGCCAAAGTCGGCAAACCCTTTGTTGACATTGATATTGAAGGCGAGGCAAAGGCCGAAGACGTTGACGCACTATCAAATCAACAAGCCGACAAAGAGGATGTGCCTCCACCACCACCTACAGCGTCTCAGGCCGGAACAGAGCAGCAAGCGAATCTAGAAGCGCCTGTCGAGAAAACCGTCAGGGAGAAGGGCAAATGCGCCAGCATCGCTACTCCAGCTGTGCGGCATCTTTCCAAGGAGCTCAATGTGAACATCGCAGATGTTGATGGCACTGGAAGAGATGGCAGGGTTCTCAAGGAAGATATCTACAGATTTGTCAAGGAGAGAGATGCCAAGGATAGTGCCCAGCAAGTATCTCCGACTGCTGCGTCTTCCAAGCCACAAGGCACCTCGGTACAAGCCGAAACAGTTGTGCCTCTTTCCAACACACAACTCCAGATGTTCAAGACTATGACAAGGTCATTGACCATCCCACACTTTCTCTACGCGGACGAGATTGACTTCTCGAGTCTCGTGGAGCTTCGGAAGCGACTAAACCGTGTTATTGCCAAGGGCCCTACAGCCGACGGACAACCTACCAAGCTATCATATCTACCCTTTATAGTTAAGGCTGTCTCATTAGCGTTGAATCAGTACCCAATGCTCAATGCCAGGGTGGATGTTGACCCCCAGACTAACAAGCCATGCCTCGTTCATCGATCACAACACAACATTGGTATCGCTATGGACACCACCGGAGGGCTTGTCGTGCCCGTGATCAAGGACGTCGCTTCTCTCAACATCCTATCCATTGCGGCAGAGCTCTCACGGCTTCAGGCATTGGCCAGCCAGGGTAAGCTTAAGCCAGCTGATTTCCAAGGGGGCACCATTACAGTGTCCAATATTGGAAACGTGGGTGGTACATACGTCAGTCCTGTCATTGTGGAACGCGAAGTGGCCATTCTGGGCATTGGACGCATGCGCACAGTACCTGCGTTTGACGAGAACGAGAATGTGGTCAAGAAGCAGGTCACCAACTTCAGCTGGAGTGCTGATCACCGAGTTATTGATGGCGCTACCATGGCGCGAGCCGCTGAGGTTGTAAGACAAATAGTGGAAGAGCCGGATCTTATGGTAATGCATCTGAAATAGATAAGAGGGGCGTTAATGTATATAATCTAGATTACCAAAAATTCATAAATTACGAACACGAAAGAGGATATACAAAGCTGGTCAGACGCTGCTGAGCCGCGATATTGCATTGTTCCTCGGCAATGAATCCCGGTTTGGCTAAATCTCAAGGTCTCATTTTTATTAATGGCGAGGTGAAGGGAGTGAGCGGCCGGAGAATCCATACAATCTGCATCAGCATAAAGAGTGATGATGTTGGCCCAAGCTATAGAACCCTGATTCCGTTGCATTGATAACCTCGTGATGCAAATCGCTCAGTCTCCAATGCCGAATGGGTTTTACCGTGCATGATGACAACACACCGACCCGAAGCTTCCAATTACATTCCAAGTATTTGTATGAGCTATCACTCGCTCGCTTGTCGGTCAGAGGCATTTTCAATCAGACGAGCTGAGCCGTGGTCAAGTGTGTTGAGTTGTCATGATGCAGGAGACTTTGTTCATCCGGATAGCTGAAAGCCCATGCCGGAACAGATGTCTCCTCCGCGAGTGAAATTACAAGAAACCTCCTAGGCTCGTAGCAAACGGATGGCAGACATCGCATAGTACTAATGGGGTTATTCCGTAGTGTAAAAACATTTGTGTATATTTCTGCCCTAACAAGTGAAGCAGATCATGGATCTTCTGACATGGAGTAGATGATATCGCAACCCTCCAA